CAGCATCTATCACCGCCCACACGTCACAGTGTACCAGTTTACAGCATCTGTCACCGCCCACACGTCACAGAAGTTGAACCCAGTGCAAAAGTGCCCTTGTTTCCCTCAGCATCTGTCACTTCTCGCTGTTCAGTACCTAAAGATGCTCCAACATATGCAAATTACGTTCGAACAGACACTGTAGACAACGAAAAATAATCTTAACACAAATCGCCATTCTCTCACGAGTTAGTGAAGCATTAAAAGTCATAATCAAGCAATGTGCATATTCAAGATGATCATCTGTACCAGGTACGCGATTTTAAGCTTAAGATACCACATAGACCAGTCAATAATAATAGATGCAATCAGTTCTGTAGACTGTTAATGTCTTGATCATGTGCGCGAGGTCTCACAGGCCAATTGCGTTCTCTGGAGAGAGAGAGAGGTTTGAAGGGTAGTGATACGGGGCAAGAACGTGCTACCCATATCTTGAGCCGTTAAGTTGCAAGTCTGAAATACTAAAAGGATTTACAGGAAAGTGAATTATTTATAATAAGTAATTCCACGTTTTACGACGAAAGCAAGAACGCTGATATTTACGCTAGTTGTAAATGCATATATATGAATAATTCCCAGCATTAACGACCCCAAAAAACAACAGCAACTGCTTGCAATTACTACGGGGCTCACCATAGCCCGTGCTACTTGAAACTTTTTCTTCCAAGTAGGAAATCTTAAAACAACATGCTAGCAATTTGCAAGCAGGGCATGAACACTCGTTTGCACAGTATGAAACAAGAGACTTTAAGAACCACTCGGGCTTCGTAACCGTCCGAATATTGACGTATTAAAATACACATGGCTATCATATTTCCTTCACCCACAGACATTATTACATATAAGATGAGGGTGCTTACATGTTAATATGGCAGTCACAGTTTCCTTGACCAACCCGCCACGACGTATATACGTTAATATATCCCATTAGGCTATACGATATATTCGTGAAGTATATTACCTTACGTTAGGCTGTGCAATATTAAAAAGATATTTTTCACTAGCTTAGCGTATAGGATATCCTTGCAGTATATTTCACTATGCTAGTGGAATATATTCATGAAGTATATGCCACTTGTTCAGGCAATATAATATTCACGGAGAGTATACCTACTAAGCTTTTAAATGAGCTATACACGTTTATTAAGTAATTCACATTCTTGAGCTTCAGTTTTATTTAACACTTGTCAAGGTTTTACTAGTATAATGCTGACTTAGAGATTGGTTGTGGTGGTGGTGGTGGTGTTGGTGGTGGTTGTGGTGGTGATGGTGGTGGTGGTGGTGATGGTGGTGGTGGTGCTGGTGGTCGCGTTGGTGGTGATGGTGGTGGTGGTGGTGGTGATGATGGTGGTGGTGATGGTGGTGGTGGTGGTGATGGTGGTGGTGGTGGTGGTGATGATGGTGGTGGTGGTGGTGATGGTGGTGGTGGTGCTGGTGGTGGCGTTGGTGGTGATGGTGGTGGTGGTGGTGGTGGTGATGATGGTGGTGGTGATGGTGGTGGTGGTGGTGATGGTGGTGGTGGTGGTGATGGTGGTGGTGGTGGTGGTGGCGTTGGTGGTGATGGTGGTGGTGGTGGTGGTGGTGGTGATGATGGTGGTGGTGATGGTGGTGGTGGTGGTGGTGATGGTGGTGGTGGTGGTGGTGTGGTGGTGGTGGTGGTGGTGATGGTGGTGGTTGGTGGAGGTGGTGGTGGTGGTGGTGATGGTGGTGGTGATGGTGGTGGTGGTGGTGGTGGTGGTGGTGGTGGTGATGGTGGTGGTGGTGGCGGTGATGGTGGTGATGGTGGTGGTGGTGATGGTGGTGGTGGTGGTGGTGATGGTGGTGGTGATGGTGGTGGTTGGTGGTGATGGTGGTGGTGGTGGTGGTGATGGTGGTGGTGGGTGGTGGTGGTGGTGGCGGTGATGGTGGTGATGGTGGTGGTGGTGGTGGTGATGGTGGTGGTGGTGGTGGTGGTGGTGATGGTGATGGTGGTGATGGTGGTGGTGGTGGTGGTTGTGGTGGTGATGGTGGTGGTGGTGATGGTGGTGGTGGTGGTGGTGATGGTGGTGGTGGTGATGGTGGTGATGGTGGTGGTGATGGTGGTGGTTGGTGGTGATTGGTGGTGGTGATGGTGGTGATGGTGGTGATGGTGGTGGTTGTGGTGGTGATGGTGGTGGTGGTGATGGGTGGTGGTGGTGGTGGTGGTGGTGGTGGTGGTGGTGGTGGTGATGGTGGGTGGTGATGGTGGTTGTGGTGATTGTGGGTGGTGGTGATGGTGGTGGTGGTGGTGGTGGTGATGGTGGTGGTGGTGGTGATGGTGGTGGTGATGGATGGTGGTGGTGGTGGTGGTGGTGGTGGTGGTGGTGGTGGTGGTGGTGATGGTGGTGGTGATGGTGGTGGTGATGGTGGTGGCGATGGTGGTGGTGGTGATGGTGGTGATGGTGGTTGGTGGTGGTTGTGTTGGTGGTGGTTGTGTTGGTGGTGGTTGTGTTGGTGGTGATGGTTGTGCAAAGAGAGAGGGAGAGAGAGAGAGAGAGAGAGAGAGAGAGAGAGAGAGAGAGAGAGAGAGAGAGAGAGAGAGAGAGAGAGAGAGAGAGAGAGAGAGAGAGAGAGAGAGATCCCATCACATCACTAGAAGCTCTGGTCAAGTAGGATCGGTAGAAATAGACGAGCTGATCCTATCCCCTGGTGTTGGTCGCTGGGGCTCGAACAAGGGGCCACATGTCTCACCTCAGCCATCGGCGGGGTATTCACTGTGCTTTCAAACAGCCTCCATTACCATAACTAGTATCCAACCCACAGACCCTGTTAAGAGATCCAATCGCAAGTGAGGTTGCAGACGAGGGAGTTGGCTTGAATAGTCCGCGGGTGGATGATCGTTTGGAGTGGGATTTAAGAGGTTTAAGGTGCCTTCAAACAGCCCAATTACCATCGTTAATAGCCCACATTTAAGGGATCCAAGGGGTGTTTCGGGGGGTTAGACATGTTTTAAAGTTTGTGCAAATGCCTTTAAAATGAGGTTAGAATGGTTTGAAGTGGGTTTCGGGCGGTTTAAAGTGGGGTTTCAAAGCGATTATGTATCGGATTAGACAAAATAAAGCCACAAAAGGCCTATTGATCTATACTAAAGCCTATTCATATCCACCCAAACTAATTGAGATGTATTCTAATCAACGCAACAAAACACTCCAGGTGATTCTGTTCCATAGATAACCCTGTTTCCTAACCAGTATTTACCCAGGTCTTTTGGTAATCTAAACTTATCCAATTCATATCCACTATTTCGTGTCCTATTTTGTGTGTTGATATAGTTAATTTTTTTTATACCTCCCTTTAACCATTTATATAATATATATTTCGTAAAAACGCTTCCATTTCTGGGTTCAGTATATATATGAGATGTTTTAACAGGCTTTAATAACATAGATAGTGACATTTATGATGTAATTGTGAAAAATATTTATACAGCCTAAATATTCATAGATTCATCAAGCTATTGTGGTTGTCACTGAGCATAATCGTTTAGGTTGTGTTGTCTGATATTTTATGAGGTGGTGGTGGTGTGGGGAGAGTAGTGGTGGTGGTGGTGTGGGGTGAGGGGAGAGTAGTGGTGGTGGTGGTGTGGGGGTGAGGGGAGAGTAGTGGTGGTGGTGGTGTTGGGTGAGGGGAGAGTAGTGGTGGTGGTGGTGTTGGGGGGGGGGGAGAGTAGTGGTGGTGTGGGGTGTTACGGCCCTACGGGGACGCAACCGGGTTCTTCTCTGATGGTATTAAAGTTTGGGAATCCGGCCCCAAGTTAGTAGAGGCTTTCAAGGGGTGTGTTCCGTAACGCAAGGTAAATTAAAGGGGGAGGGATACAAATGTTCTGATTTATATATATATAATTTCACCACCACCATAAATAAATGTATAACAGTTGCACACGGGGGTTATTACTACACGATTATGTACACGCTTGTCTTCCTCCGAAGACACAGGATGCTCCACGGTGCGTACTTTGGGTAGCCCTGGTTCTCTTCTTCGGCCCACGATGAATCCTCTATGATTCTCTTGGGGAATCTACCCTGGCCACTGGGTAGATTCGCCAAGAGATTGTTGACAAAGGCTTTAACAAGCCGAAACGTTCACCTCATTTCATATTTCTCTGTGCATTTTCCGCATAAAATGATCAGTGTTTTGTGATCGTCAATTGCATATATATATATATATATATATATATATATATATATATATATATATATATATATATATATATATATATATATATATATATATATATATATATATATATATATATATATATATAAATATTGTTTATGTTCCACCGGGAATCATCAGCAATTATGCAAATTAGATCAAGTAAGTTATCTTACGGAGTGGCTCAGCTGCCGGCAGCCAGATTTATGCATAAACAAATTCAGCCTCCTTCAATTAGCAAGTGCGGCAGCCACTTTCACATGTGCATCAATTTGCACCTATAAACAACGCGCTATATACTCTAAGGTCTCAGAAAACGGGCCGTTGATGCCTGACAACGGTAATTAAACCCTTTTCATATCACCCAGAGAAACGGCAACGATTGAAAAACAAAATCCTAGTGAATAACAGTGGATTTCAGTCAATTAGCTTTTTATCCTGAAACGGGCGTATGAATAATGCATCATAACATATGATAAAGAATATAATTCTTGACGAGTAGTTAAGTTCGAGAGATAATGTTTTCTAACCTACTGGTGCGGCGCCTTGACCGCTGCGTCACGCTCCAGTCAAGACGGGCACGTAACTTAAGTTTTCTTGACCGTGTCTCGCTTTTCCTCTCGGACTTAATGCCTATCTACCCCGGGGGTAAAGGTTATCAAGACCACCACAACCATTTACTGTTCAACCAACGAGGATATTTAGGTTTACATAGACGCGCGCGGGTAAATCTTTCGCGGTTATAAACACCATTTTTTAGACAAAGATTATGTCTAAAAATACCTAAGTTACCCCCATTGGCGAGCGGGAAGTTGGTCTACCTGAAGGGGAGACAATGCTAGGACTTCTCCCAGCTGCTGGGCTGATGCTAGGACTTCTCCCAGCTGTTGGGCTGATGCTAGGACTTCTCCCAGCTGTTGGGCTGCTGCTAGGACTTCACCCAGCTGCTGGGCTGATGCTAGGACTTCACCAAGCTGTTGGGCTGCTGCTAGGACTTCACCCAGCTGTTGGGCTGCTGCTAGGACTTCACCCAGCTGCTGGGCTGCTGCTAGGACTTCAGCCAGCTGCTGGGCTGATGCTAGGACTTCACCAAGCTGTTGGGCTGCTGCTAGGACTTCACCCAGCTGCTGGGCGGCTGGGACGGGCTGAGTGACGCTAGGTACATGGTCTTTAGGGCTCATATACCTTCTGCATTCTTCTGTCTTCATTCTTCCTTCTTCTTTTTTCTCTTGGGGTTTCATGATGTTAATTCGTCTTCTTCTTCTTCTTCCTGAAGGTTTGACTTTTCCGACACTGAAGTGATCAAGCCCACTGTTGTTGCATATCTTGGTACTACTGGGATATACCGGTATATCAGGATCGTGGTATAACGAGAGTATTTCCGATGGAAATGAGACAGATTGTATATTCGTTTCTATTAAATATCTATTTAGTTTCTAGAAGTACAGCCAGGTTTTTTAGCCTGGTGTTGGGCTCGACAATGAGAGTGGAAGCTGGACCTTGATCTTGATCTTGAAATGATGTTGTTTGAGTTTTAATTTGATCTTGAAATGGTGTATCTTGATCTTGAACTGTCGTGAACTGTCGTGAATGGTGTATCTTGATCTTGAACTGATCTTGAGTGGAAATAACTGGAGATGTAGTAACGGAAGAACTGTTACAACATGATATGGAATCCACATGAAATAAACAACGTGGCCTTTCAGCTGTATCTCGTTCACCCTCGTCTCACAGTCCTCAACTATGGTCATGAAGATTGTATTGCGGCAGTTACAGGAATCAACCGTGGACATTTTCAAGAGGAAACTAGATTTATTCCTCCAAGGAGTGCCGGACCAACCGGGCTGTGGTGGGTATGTGGGCCTGCGGGCCGCTCCAAGCAACAGCCTGGTGGACCAAACTCTCACAAGTCGAGCCTGGCCTCGGGCCGGGCTTGGGGAGTAGAAGAACTCCCAGAACCCCATCAACCAGGTATCAACCAGGTATCAACCAGGTGCTGCTCGGCCTTCGACAGACATGAAAATATGTTGCTTGTCTTGAAGGACTTCTTCCAAACCAGCCAGAATGGTCTGCAGTTCAGCTTGTGTGGAAGTCGAGGTGATTATTAAGTTCGAAGTTCAATTTTCCTGTCCACAATTCCAGACTTAGAATATTCCCTTATTGAGACACCCAACCCTGCCACCGACCCGTCAGTATATACATGTAAACTATTGTAAACTTTGGTAACTAAATTATCATGTTTCCACACGTTTACAACCTGTTCTCCTACAAAGAAACGTCGTTTTTCGCTCGTAAGAGTTACACAACGCCAAAAATTATCGTACTAGAAAATGGAAGCGGCTGGCGAAAGTGACGTACGGTTCCGTTTTCTGTTTTGGGTCCTCTGGTAGGTTAGGAGAGACTACTTTAAATTGACCGTTTTCTTGACGTTGGGAAACCATAGAACGGACTGCACAAACACCGTAGTTGTCCCGGATCATGCTGAATCTTTTCCATCTTGAGTTGTATAGAACTTATTTGATGTTAGTGAGATGTCCAAACACCTGTCTAACGTGAATTGCGTCAGCAGGATTGACGTCAGCTTGAGTTTCAGTCGCCAGTTGACGTCCTTCTAGATGATATTTGCTGAAACAGCTGTTAAAGTCGGGTTTTGGACCCTCATCAGCCTCGAGTGAAGATGGTCCTCTCAGCTGGGTAACGTCTTGGAGGTAGAGGTAGAAGGTATTCTACCTCTACAAACCTTATGCAGGTCTTACAGACCTCTCGCAGTTCGGTCTGTATTTCAAGGGGGTATTAGCCCCTGAGGAGGGCCAGGGGGCTCAATAATCTTGACTGTAGGATATATATATATATATATATATATATATATATATATATATATATATATATATATATATATATATATATATATATATATATATAGGGGTACCACCACTGGTTTAATTAAAGGGACCCACATCCTCGAAGAAGAAAATAAATAGTGTTCATAGAAGACCTTGTGGATTCTCACATATATATATATATATATATATATATATATATATATATATATATATATATATATATATATATATATATATATATATATATATATATATATATATAGGAGAGATGAATGCCACTACCATCTTCCCCCATCAGTGATGCCTCCAAGAACATCCTGTAATTCACCCCCTTCTCCCCCCTCCCACAGCTGGAGACACCCCCTCCTCCCCCCCTCCCACAGCTGGAGACACCCCCCTCTCCTCCTACGTCAGACGACCGGAGGCACTAACCACTCCCCCCCCTGGTAAAGTAATTTGCATAATTTGTAAACCCTTAGACAGGAGTTCACCTATTGTTTAATTTCACCTCTGGCACGCTGCTGTATCTCGCGAACCCATCATCTGCATGGGGATTACCCTCCTTCTCCGGGGATTTATGGGCCGGAACACTATGCATATTATGCATAGTCTTCTCTTCTGCGTGCCTGCGTGGGATCTGATCCTTTATGTAGGATCTGATCCTCTATGTAGGATCTGATCCTCTATGCAGGATCTGATCCTCTATGTAGGATCTGATACTCTATGCAGGATCTGATCCTCTATGCAGGGTTCGATCCTCTATGCAGGGTTCGATCCTCTATGCAGGGTCCGATCCTCTGTGCAGGCTCTGATCATCTATGTAGGATCTGATCCTTTATGTAGGATCTGATACTCTATGCAGGATCTGATCCTCTATGTAAAATCTGATCCTCTATGCAGGATCTGATCCTCTATGTAGGATCTGATTCTCTATGCAGGATCTGATCCTTTATGTAGGATCTGATCCTCTATGCAGGATCTGATCATCTATGTAGGATCTGATCCTCTATGCAGGATCTGATCCTCTATGCAGGATCTGATCCTTTATGTAGGAACTGATCCTCTATGTAGGAACTGATTCTCTAAGCAGGATCTGATCCTCTATGCAGGATCTGATCCTTTATGTAGGATCGTATCCTCTATGTAGGATCTGATACTCTATGCAGGATCTGATCCTCTATGTAGGATCTGATCCTTTAAGCAAGATCTGATCCTTTAAGCAGGATCTGATCCTTCAAGCAGGATCTGATCCTTCAAGCAGGATCTGATCCTTCAAGCAGGATCTGATCCTGCCCCACCGATCTCAATATATAGGCAAGACAACAACAGCTCATTCAAGACGTCTGCGAGTGCACAAACAACAAGGCTCTGCCAAACACATGCATATATATATATATATATATTATATATATATATATATATATATATATATATATATATATATATATATATATATATATATATATATATATATCCTATACACAACCAGACCATCCCTAGAGAGATCGAAGCCAACAACACGGAAATAATTAACAGATACACCGACAACAAAAGATTAGACATAGCCGAAGCACTACATACCAAATACTCATCTTTCGACAGCCAGCTTGCTCTCAGGTACATCCTACCTTCCTCAAGAACCAGGAAGAATAGCCAGCTCACACCTCGCCTACTGGCCCAAGCTTCACCTCAACATTCTTGGTTACATCTTCAGCAGTTTCAGCTAACTTCAGTTTCAGCTTCAATTACCCTTCAGGGTCTTGAAGTGGGTAGAATGTAATTATGTGTTAATTGGCTGTCAAGAGCCAATCCTCTACGAAGTGAACCTCTAAGTATTTAATTGGCTGTTGACAGCTAATCAACAGCCAATTAACACATAATTACATTCTACCCACTTCAAGACCCTGAACCAACACAGAAACCCTTGAAGCAAAAACACAGTACACGCAGTACCGTTACTACCCACATGCCGTTCATCTACTTGTTCATCTCAATCATGTCCTGTATCACCTCACCCCAAGCGAATGTAAGCCTTGACATTGCATGTAAAAACTTATCTTTGAAAATGTAAGAAGTGACTTGCGAAACGCTTCACTAGGCGTCAGACCATAAATAAAGTGTGAAAATGAACTTTGGAGAGTTAATTTTTCAATTACCCTCGACAGTAAAGGAAAAACATAGGAAATATTGGGAAGAATCGTGTTAGAATTATTAATCTTACACTTTCGGTCTGATATATATATATATATATATATATAGATATATATATATATATATATATATATATATAATATGCGAACAAGCCTGAATGGTCCCCAGGACAATATGCAACTGAAAACTCACACCCCAGAAGTGACTCGAACCCATACTCCCAGGAGCAACGCAACTGGTATGTACAAGACGCCTTAATCCACTTGACCATCACGGCCGGACAAAATGAGGTGATAGCCGAGGCTATTTGAACCATCCCACCGCCGGCACTCGGATAGTAATCTTGGGCAATATGCAACTGAAAACTCAGTTGCATATTGTCCTGGGACCATTCAGGCTTGTTCGCATTTTGTGTTCCTCACGTGTGCCCCAAAGAATGAGGTGATTTGGTAAAATGCTATGCCCAAGATTACTATCCGAGTGCCGGCGGTGGGTGGTTCAAATAGCCTCGGCTATCACCTCATTATGTCCGGTCGTGATGGTCAAGTGGATTAAGGCGTCTTGTACATACCAGTTGCGTTGCTCCTGGGAGTATGGGTTCGAGTCACTTCTGGGGTGTGAGTTTTCAGTTGCATATTGTCCTGGGGACCATTCAGGCTTGTTCGCATATATATATATATATATATATATATATATATATATATATATATATATATATTGTATATATGTATATATATAATGTGAGAGGTTGATTCTAAGATGAATCATGTTGGGTATGGGAGTATCATAGGACAGTCGGGGTTGGCCCGTGTGGCATGCTTTAAGAATATCTGCATTAATAAAAGACCCCCCTCACCCACACCTACAACTTTCATTTTCAAATCTAAATATTAGTTGTGTCTTCCGTAGGGTTGTTTAGCAGTTACAGTGCTTCTCCACTTCATATAGTCTAGGGTAGCTGCACTAATGCAGATGTCCTAATATGTTAATAAAAAAAAAAAAAAAATCGTAATCATTTTCTGTTAGAGGCAGGGGGGGGGGAGGGAAGAGACCTGGGCTCTGCCGGGTACTCCTTCCAAGATGTGAGAGGGGGGGGGGAGGGGGGTATATACTGTTGATGGGCTCTCAAGAGGAGCCTTAACTACTGCCTTCAGGTCGTTAATATAAGTGCCAATGGGGTCGTTCAAGAGAATGTGTGTACTCACCTATATGTACTCACCTATATGTGCTTGCAGGATCGAGCATTG